CGCTACATGCTCTTCCCATCTGGTCATTTGTCCTTGCTGGCTACACTGGATGAGATGAATTTCTCGCCTCACTGTCTCCATCTTTTGCAAATGTCTTGTTGCAGCTTTTCTTTTGTCTCGCTGAGACATTTTCCTGAAAGGTCTAAAGTCGCCATTACCTAGCCCTAATCTGTCAGGTTGCGCTGGACCGACAATGTCGCCATGCTCCAATGCAGAGATGATCTCGTCAGCTTCATCTTCCGCCTTCCACTTTCTGGATGTTTTGACACCTGGAGGTTTTCTACTGATCTCCTTATTCCTTGATTCTCTTAACATCAAAACGGTTCTAATCTTGCCTGCTTTGTAGATCTCCACGATTGACGTGAGAGGTATTTGAAGCGCACCTCTATGTCTGTACAGGGATGACGTGTTAATTGTACGGGGTAGCCCCAATCACTTCCTGATGTAACTGTTACACTTTCTTTCGATCATCTCAACTCTTGACAGAGCAACTTCATACATTGTCAGTGGCCACGCCAATCGAGGGTAGAGGGCAAACTGTAGACACCATATCTTATGCTTTCCTGGAAGCTTTGTCTGGTCAATTGCTTTCAGCCAAATTCAGCCTGCTTCATGATTTCCACGCCTTGACTCCTATCAGACAGCGTTCCTGAGTACCCAAACTCTTAACAGGTTGTTCTTTCACTGTGGGCATTTGCTCCCCTGCAATTGTGAACTTCAGTTGCTTCTGTTTCCCTTTGTGGATAATCAGGCTTGTAGATTTCTTAGCTTTAAACTTCATCCTGGTCCAGGTGACAAGCTTATCAAGCCGATTCAACACACTTTGCATTGTGTCTGCATCTCTTGTCAGTAGGGTCACATCATCCATAAAGGCTTTGTTTGGTGATCTCACCTTTGCTTCTTCTTCATCGCATTCTGCAGATCTCAGTAGCATCTCCATTACCAGGATGAACCAGATGACCGATATAGAGCAGCCAGCTGCAATCCCACTCTCTAGTCGGTGCCATTCCGTTGTGAAATTTGCCGTTGAGAATCGCACCTGGAAGTTACTATAGTATTCTTTCATGATGTCTTGCACCTCTTGCGGGACGTAGAAGAAATCCATTGCCTTCATCAGCAGTTTATGGTAAACAGACCCGCATGCATTCACAAGATCCAACCACACTACGTTTAACCTTTCCTTGGTTTTCTTGGCCTCTTGGATTGTGTCCCAAAAGGTGAAAGCATGCTCACAGTCCTCTTTGCAAGTATTCCCATAAAAATCTTGCACGTCAGGTTTATGATTGAAATAGGTCTGAACTGTCCTATCTCCTTTGCTTTCTGTTCTTTGGGTAGATACACGCCCTCCGCTCTACACCAATCTTTGACGATTTCTTTGTCTATCCAAAGGCCTCTTAGCATCTCAAAGAGGGTGTGTCTCAGCGTGTCGCAATACTTGAACACCTTATAAGACACGCCATCTCCTCCAGGTGCACTTTTTGCTCTTGTCTATTTTACAAACTCATCTACTTTTTTCTCTCTTGTTGTTTGTTTTGTTTTTGTAAGTGTATTACGGCGCTCACAACTGCATAAGCTAATAATAATGAGCGCGCGGGACACATTGAACTTTTTCAGTTGGTAGGAAATTTTGCATTTTGCCCGGGTGGCGGCCGAAGCCTACTCTTATCGATTTTAGACCACCAAAGGATCTTTAACGTGCGCAACTTGCACACGGGCCCTCTGAGATTTTTCGCCCTTGTCCGAGAAGTCTAGGTGTAGATCTTTCCTACCAGAAGATCAGGGGTGTGGCCGAAAGACAGCAGTAAAAAGAAGCCAGGGAGTAGCAGTAGAAATGCTGTAGAAAGTATCAGGAGCCCAGAGGAGGGGGGGGAAGGAGATGAGGGAGAGGGGGCAGAAAGAGGAGACGAAAGCAGACGACAGAACATTTCTCGAGAGCAGGAAAGGAGGTGAAAAGAGACAAATTTAGAGAAGAAATTAATTTTTTGGTCACTACCCGGATTCGAACCTGGGACCTTTGAATGAGAGGCCAACACCTTAACCTGTAGGCCACGAGAGCCCCCTTCTTTCTCTCTATTTGGTCCCAGATAATATTTGACCACGGTGGTAGCTGGACGCTTCAGGCCTCTCATATAAGGAAGCGGTTCTTCTCTTCTTGAATCGCTGGTCGTCTGCTTAAGCATCGAGTTCTTCTTTCGTACATTCCAATTTACCACTTCGTGCCTCTGTGAACAGTTTTTGGCTGCTTCATGAGGATTCTTCAGAAATTGTTCACGTTCCCTTTTCCTCTCTTTTCTCCTGGTACACCTTCTTTTGTGCCTCTGTAGGTCTCTGCTCTTTTTCTTAAGATCTTCAAATAAGATTCTCAGGCCTTCTATCTCTTCTGGTGGTACGTACTTTTTCTGCTTTTGCAAGTCTCGTTTCTGTTTTCTTAGCTGTGCAAGTACTCTCTGCCTTCTGCTCAATCCACTTTTCTTTTCCGTCTTTTTCTTTCCTTCACAAATGCCAAACTCTCTTATTGCCGAGTCATAGATAATGGTCGCAAACGCACTCAAGGTTTTTTTTAGCATCACTTCTGTTAGAACTCTTTTTTACTTTTTCAGTTTCCTCTGGACATCTTCTTCTAACGTCCTGTATTGTGCCTTCTCGTTAGCAGCAGGCCACAATATTCTGAGTTTCCATAACTCTGGTTCCTTCGTTTGCTGTTCCATCTCATGCTGAGAGAGGGTGAAAGGAAAGTCGACTGAAGCACTAATCGCTCCGCTTTGGTTTTCATCCTGGGATGATTTGCTTCGCGTCTTACAATCTGACGATCTGCACTGTCTTCTCTTCCTTAAACAGACTTTTCCCTAGTGCACTCTCAGCCCTCGCCAGGTATCGAATTTTCTGTAGCACTGCTCGCATTTGAATCTGTTCTCTTGATTTTCTTTCTGAATTGTCCTTTTAACGTTTAGGTCATTGTTCACGGAACCGTCCTTGTGGATCTCTACTGCTTTTCTGACACACCGAGCCCCCTCACCGATGTGAGGTCTCTGTGCTAGTTCGACTGTTTTCCTCTGCTGCCAAAAAAGTTCTGAACTGAGCAAAAGCAACACTTTTGTTTCTATTAAAACATTATGTACAATTTTAGTCTAAAGCCATCTAAGACAAGTATCATTGTTTTATAATGTGGGAAACTGTTGATGGTTATTGGTGATTGGTGTATGCATACTTGCTTTCTTCATTACTAATGAGGAATCGAATTCCATTGTCCTTATAACTTGTCACTACATCTATTACTACTGACGAATTTAATTTCATTGTCCCGCCCCTTAAATTCAACGATTATCATGTTTTATTTGAACATATATTATTGGTTGTTAATTACCTACCTAGTACCTAGTCAACCACGCCGGGAGCGATAGTCACTGTAGTGCTGAACACAACCTTCCTCCTTTCACTTCTGTCTCGGGACTTTCCAACGATCTCATTAATATTTAGCTCAGTGATGTTAGAGAGTTTTGATATGTACGCTATTGATATTTTCTTGTATTTATTTTCTATTACACAAACATGTTTATTTGTATTAATGATAATGTGTCATGACCAATATCCATACTTCTGCGTTTTTGCTTGCATAATTGCTTCTACTTCTGATTTGTTATGTTATATTTTGTTTTCCCTCACAATCTATTTTCAGTTACCAGTAATTAAAGATAAATACTTTTTTGTTCTAGTAAGATCAAGTGAATGTGTTGTGTTATATTCATAAGTGATTGAAGTAAGCTTTCTCTTATATTATGATTGTGTGGGTGGACTTTTGAAAATGTATGTGTGTGTGTGTGTGTGTGTGTGTGTGTGTGTGTGTGTGTGTGTGTGTGTGTGTGTGAGAGAGAGAGAGAGAGAGAGAGAGAGAGAGAGAGAGAGAGAGAGAGAGAGAGAGAGAGCGAGACAGACAGACCAACAGACAGACAGACAGACATATAGAAAGACAGACAGACACACAGACGATCGGAGACAATCGGAGAGAAAAAAACGAAACAAATTACGTGATTTCTCTCCCTTGTTCATTTACAATGTAGCGCGCATCACTGAACGTCTTTGAACAGCTGACAATGTAACTTTTTCTCTCCCATTGTGTCTGTTTGTTTGTCTGTCACGGAGCCCGTCTGTCTGGTTGTCTGTCTGATTGTCTGTCCGCCTGCCTGTCCGTCCGTCTGTCTGTCTGTCTGTCTGTCTGTCTGTCTGTCTGTCTGCCTGTCTGACCCCCCCTCTCTCTCTCTCTCTCTCTCTCTGTCTCTCTCTCTCTCTCTCTCTCTCTCTTTTGGTGAGTCAAGTACCCGATGTATACATCTAAGCTGTTCTATAGTTAACTTGGCAGTGTTTGTTATCTTGTGTACATATATTTTGATGAGTGGGGTTTTTTAAATTGTTGTTCTTGTGTGTGGGGAGTGGGGGCGGAAATAGAGAGAGGGTGGTGTTTGAGGTGGTTTGGAGGAGCGGAGAGTAGTTTGCGGGGAAGGAGGGGGTGAATCCATTTGTTTTGGATAGTCAATTCGATCTACTTGGCTTTTGTTGTTGTTTTTTTCTGTACTTTTTTGTTTAGTACAATTTGCTTTTGTCTTTGTTACTCGCATTCTTCGAATACTGTTGATCAGGTGTGAATACATCCTAACATTTGTAGATGGATGGAGGGCAGCCCCGGCAAGTCCGCATTTTTCTGTCTTTTGGTTGCCACTAGTGTAGATGTGTATCTATTTTAGTCTTTACCATCATTTTTATCATTGTCATTACCATAAAGTACCTGACCTGAAACAGCGATCATGGTTCTCCAATCATTTCTGGATTATTATTATTATTATTATTATTATTATTATTATTATTATTATTATTATTATTATTATTATTATTATTATTATTATTATTATTATTATTATTTTCATCATCATTTTTATTAACACACGTCAATTCCGATTGTCTTGGTTTTTATGTCAAATTAAAAGAAAACCGACTAACATTCACAGGTAAACCAAAGCTCTGCTCATGGAAAAAGGAGGAGAAGGAGCCAAAGACTGTCTTCTTTGACCCAAGCAGCTCAGACTACATCAGATTTCAACTGTGCGTCGTGGCGTTTCCAGATCTGATTAAAACAATAAAGCTCAATGAGAAACAGGTGATAGCAAAGCTTAGTTATAACGAACACAGGGTGACCATCCAGCCAGATCCTCGAGGTCTGCACCAGCATATGGTGGAAATAGAGCTGAGGGATAAGTCTTATCGAGCTGAGATGTCTGTGGAGGTGGAAGTGATCTCCAGTGAATACAATAGAGCGACATTTCCGGTGGAACTCCGTCCCGTAGGTTGTCCAAAATCTCTGTCTGCAATTGGGAGCAGTTTCAATTACGTCACGTTGTCGTGGAAACCAGTTCCGGAGTTCGACATGAACCAATCCTACTACGTCTTTTACAGCAAGCTGTCAGAAGGGACGTGGCATCGAAGTCACGTAAGGGAGAGTAAACCAATGGGTGGCCTCGTCTCATGGAATGTGACAGGTTTGATACAGGACAGCCGTTACCTCTTCAAGGTCGTGGCACTGAGCAATGGCTCACGGGTAGATGACGTCATCAAGAACTACTGTTCAAAAGAAGTCTCAGAGGCTACTGGTATGTAGAGATTCCTGTCGTTTCTATACTGTTTATACGCACGCGCACACACACACATACACACGCACTCACACATACTCACATATGTATATATTATGTATATAGGTATATAATATATGTATATATATATATAAACACACTCACACTCACACACACACATACAAACACAGACATACACATGCACACACATGCACAAATACACACACAAACATGCACACACATAAACACACACACACACACATACACACAAACAAAGGCACACTCATACACACACATTTTAAATTTTAAATCAATATTTTTTATCCTCTGACGAAGATGACAACTTAAGCTTGAACAACAAGTGGAAAGTTTGTAAGGATACATCAGCTTTTCAAACCTGTCATCATTGTCATCATCATTATCGTAATCAAGTGCCAAATCTGCAACAGACATAAGCGATCATGGTTCTCCGTTCATTTCTTCGCTCGGATCATCTTAAAAGCCACATTGCCCTAAGCTTTCCTTGTCACCTATCTGTTTACATTCTCCAAGCAGGTTGCTCTGAGCCCACCACTACCTCATTTAGCTTCAATTTTGCTAGAGAGAGCTAGATGTTCAAGGCCTTTATATCCATTTAAGTGTTCCAAAACGTGCATGTATTGTCTTTTCCTGATTATTTTTATTAGCGAGCGGCCAAGGTGGGTTTCAATTACTTCCTCATTTGATTTTCTTTTCCTCCCAAGATATTCTCAACAGTCTCCTATAAACCGCACTTATGTTGCTTCTAATATACAGTGGCGTCCAAAAAAACTTGAAAATGTAATCACCCAGTCATCGTGTTAAAGCCCTGGATTGCCCACTCATGCAGTATACACATTTAAAGATAAATATTCTACTTCTTCTGACACATTAATAATTCATCTATATTAAGGGGTGCCCGCGTTACGGTCACTCAAAATTGACCTTGAAAATCGGCTTGGAAATAATTAACGAAATCAACGAAAAGAAAAATGTCTTCGTGCGTGTATTGAGAAACATCAATATTGGTATAATGGACAATGACATACATTACATATTCAATGAATGGAAAATGTAGCTCAGTAATAAACAATATTTTATTACGACATTTTGTAAGGGAGTTTTAAACCTAACGGAAAGCAGAGCAATCTCAAATACTCTAAGGTATCGAATTAAAGCGTCCCCCCCCCCCCCACTTATTAATTTTCAGTTTTCTTGAGGTCCCCCCTCCTTCCACCCACCCCACCCCGCTCCTTATTCCATATCCACCGTTTATTATTTTCCAGCTTGCCACGACCGACGATCATGTGAAGCTTTATATCTAGAATCTAGATATCTAGATCTAAATTCTAGTCTAGGTTTTTGTCGAAAAGTCCTTAAGCCGCCAGAATGGATCGATAACCTTCTTTATCACAATGCCCAACAGCTTACTAGATCTAGTACTAGTAGATCTAGGCCTACTCTCGGCGTGGCCCGCCCAGCACTGGCTACGGGGTTTCAGCGAGCTGGCTAAACTACACAGTTCGAAAGGAAGCGGAGAAAGTGCTGGTTTCCAAGATAAAGATTCAAAATCTCATCTATTTTATAGATCTAAACAGGGGTGGCTCGTGGGTCTAAAAGTGGGCGTGCACAATCAACTTAAAGCAGTTTGGATATAGTAAAGGGCATGATAAATGAGATGTATTATTCAACCTACCCGTTTAGAGAAACTCTATAATTTGAAGAAGAAACGACTTTTAATAGTCCTGGAATTTGGATGGGTGGACGATCGATCTTGTACTGATTTTATTTTGCTTCAAGAAACGGTCAACAATTCGATTAACTATTATGCCCCAGGCCTCCTTTGCAGAAATGTCGTTAGTGTTGTGATGTTTACTTCTCTTGGAAGCTTGGTCTTACTTGTTGATGGATGAAACACTTACACTATTTTGTCATTTCCCGGACGGTTGTTTAAAAAATGTTGCTAGAGCTTGTTGGGCTGCTATGGCGTTGTAATTTGTTGTTGAAGGTATCCATATACAACGTTAACATGCGTGAACAAAAAGTGCATAAAGAAGAGAAATATATCGCTCTTTAATACATTCAAGAGACCACACGTTTCGTAGGTGGTATTATCGTCCCCATGCTCAGACTGAATTTCTTCAAGATAGATCAGGATCTCTCCTTTCCAAGTGAAGACTGCGCTAAAAGTCGAGATGGAAAATCTCAACTTGTTTCCGACGGCCATGGAATATTCCGGTGACAAACGCGTCGATGCATTTTGTAGAGTGGGCAAAAACGTCGAAAAGTCTGCAGCGCTAGCGAAAAATATCCTGCAGTCTGCGCTGAACAAATGTCTTTAAAACAAGATTCAGCCGGTGCGCATATAGCAATGAACAAAGACAACATAAAGGGTAAATTGTTGCATCTGAGTCTGTACACCAGAGACTCTCCTGCTCATTACAGATGTCCAGTCGTAGGTTTTGGCGATTCCTCGACGTTGAATGGTCCAAAAGTTTCGTTTAGGGTTGAAACGAGCCCTGATGAAGTTCTATCTTTGGCTTCAAAGACTTTACAAACCACTCTACAGGTTTTCCGTCCTTAATATACCTCAGAATTATCGCAGACTGACAATTGACCTTCATGAGCTACTTCGTCAGCCTGGATAGGAAGAAGGTTGAAAGAACATATTTATGTCTTTATTCATTTCTTCGAGGTATATTTTGAAAATACAGTCCAGCAGTTCGTGTTGTATTATTTTGGAAGTACATTTTGCAACAGTGGCGCTTTGCAGATGATCAAATAGTATTCTGTCAATTATGGCGCCTTGTGCAGTAAATCAAGAAAAATACCTTTGTTTCCCCACAAATTGCCTATTTTATGACCGCAGAGGGCGAGATCGTGAGTTACACAGAAAAAACAAACACTCGATAACCCTACACAGTACGTGCCTGTTCTTTCTCACCAGTTCGTTATAGTGAGACTTTGCAATGAGATGACCAACATCTAGCTGCTCTACTATGTCTATTAGTCCGAAAGTGTGATGCTTAACTGTTTTGTTGACGTGCGCTCTTGATGTCTCAAGTCTTTAAAGGGGTGGGGGGAGGGCGGCTACACCCTCAATCAAAGTCAAGATTCGGCTCCAAATTATGGAATTTGAGTTGTAGGCATTTTCAGCTTCCTCGGCCTCTTCTACAACTATTTCATTGCATAAGAATCCCCAAAAATCGTATTGTTTCCCATACCGGGCATGTTTGTCACCACCATTTCCTCATAAAGTCAATATTTAATTTTCTGTATCGACCGTTTTCTCAAAACACGACTTTTTTCTATACTGTTTTGAATAACTCCAGTATTTTTCATCCAATGTTAATGAAATGTTCACTGAATGAAGAGATGTAATACTAAAAATTTGTCTATTGACGTTTTGATATATAGAATAGATTTTTGTTGGGGGTGTCTGGAGTGTGGATTTTCACGGATTTTTTGCACACTTGAATTCTACCACAGGAAAAAAATCATTAAAAATGTTCTAATTCGTTCAGTAAAAAACAACAACTGACCATTTCTTAGATCTAATGTTTGTTAACATGCATGCAAAAAAAACAAATTAATTTCTGCTATGGGCGATAAGTGTGGTATTCGTTACGTAAGACATGTCAACAAAATCCAATATGGCCACCGTATCCATGTAAACGAAACTTGTTTCTCAAATTTGATTGCGGATTTTAAAACTCCTTACTATGCTTGTTAAATGTGTGCAATTTGCTTTGTTTCACATGGACAAGATCAGTAAAACCTGTCTTAGATCACTTGGCTCCCTAAGTCCTTAAAGGGCAGACAATAGATACCGTACTATTTTTTGGTCCTGAAGATCCGTTTTAAAAACACTATTGTACCTTTTTGTTGGTAACATTACTATAGTATCTTTGTGTTGGCGAGGACCTAATTCTTTCACTCTCTTATTGTCACTTTGGTCTAGAGAACTGAATTAATTTGCAAGCAAAAAATGAACTCATAAATCCAGCATTTTAATTGCACACTCAAATAATAAAACTGTCATCACAACACCATTCCAAGTAAGGCTATTCTAACACAATGACCTAAATACGTCATGTTGACCTCACTCAAGTTCATGGTTACAGAGGTGGGGCTAGAGATATAAATGGCAAGACAATGGACCAATCGCACACCACGGTGAGAACTTAGGTGGATTCCTCCGAAGATGTCATAAAACGGGCATTGAAAATTGTTTAGCTAGCGTGAACTGGTCTGAGATCGCGTTATTTTTTAGACTGTCTCTATGAGCTTTGTTCGGCTGGGGCACTTTGAGATTGTGCCGACTTATTTATTTATGTACTACGAAACTGGCTCCAAACGTCATCGTTGTTTGGGTCTGCCCGCAGAGTATTTTTCAAGTTAGATTAACACCACTGAACATGATATTTTTCACTTGGGTTAAGCTCCAGGACTTGCTATAATATGGTGAAGTAGATGTTGTAGAGTGCTACAGATACGCTAATGACCGACTCGGTTCTGGCAAGGAACGTGTGGGAAATTGATTGAATAATGGATGTTAAAGGTTCTTTTTATTGTCTCTTTATGAGTGTTCTGCGCATTAAAAATATTTGGCGATGTGCGGGACCGTGCTCTATGGGCGAGCCGCCGCTGGATCTAAACCATGTCCTAATTGCATCTAAATATGAAAATGGTGCAAAATCAAGCCAAACTTCGATTAATAATAGATCTAGATCTAGATATAATACTCATGGGCCAAAACACAAAATGTGAGGCAGCATGGTGGAATCAGGCTCTCGTTAATTTTTGGGCATGTAGAGTTATTGGTATCACCTTAAAGCTTGTTCCCTTGCTTTTATTTGGATGAAAAAAATGTCCATTCATCTTGAATACAAGTCGAGATATTTGCGAAAGAAGGAGGTGGGGTCACCTGTTTTCAGAGGTAAAATTAGTGAGAAAATGGGTGTCGAAAATTAGTTATTTCCTTAGCTTAAGAGTTCGTGCTA